AGTTGGGGGGGGGGGGGAGAATTCCGGAATTTGTTTTTTAAATTTGGATCCCGGGAATGGCATTTGCAGAATTCTGAGAACATACACTGTATTTTGGAAAAAATTTTGGGTTTTTAAAACACTGTTTTAATGGTGCATTTTGTTAGAAATAACATGCCTTGCATTAAGCCCAGGTCACGCTACACAACGATAACGATACGATAACTTGTATACGCGCGCTGATTGGTCAAAAAATTATCGTTATCGTCCGACTGAAAAAAAAAATCGCTCAGGTGAGCGATTTTAAAATCGTTATCGTTATCGCCTAACGATAATTTTACCATTTTCGTGGTTCCGTGGACACTAACACAATTTTTTTTACAATTATCGCGTGTTTACAATTTATCGTATCGTTATCGTTGTGTAGTGTGACCGGGCCTTTATTTACTTCTGTAAATTGCAAGGTGGTTTATTTTAACACGCCAATGACAATATAAAAATTTATTCGCTAGTGAGTGAAATTTATTCGCTGCGCACGCTTTTGTTTCGTTAACATAAAACCACAGATTGGAATGTTAATTGAATTATCTATAATCCATTGTTTTTCAGCATAATAGTTTAATACGCATTCAAATATTTTCGTGCAGCAGGAAATATCGACAATTACATGTAAAGAAGCGTTGAACTAATTATATGTAAAGAAAAATTAAAATAATTACAATAATTACATGTAAAATATTAAAATAATTACCTGTAAAAATATTAAAATAATTAAAATAATTAAAATATTAAAATAGTTACTTGTAAAGAAGCTGTTGCAACAGTTGAGAAAAATTGCTTTGCGGATTTTGAACAATTTCGATCGTTAAGGCTGCTCTCCAGTTAAACGTTTTTCATATACGTTCGTGTACGCACGTAAAAGTTTAAATCTTTTTAAATTTTACTTATGAAATAACTAATTGAATAAAAGGATAGAATTTAATTTTCTGTGTGATTTAATATGCATTTGTTGAGGTACAGTAATTAGTACTTGTATAAAATTTAGAAAGATTTAAACTTTTACGTGCGTACGCGCACGTATGAAAAAAAAACTTAACAGGAGAGCAGCCTTTAAGCGGTGTCACTGATGACACTTCCTTACGAGATTCGTAGTAATGTGTCCACAAAATGCATAATGATATGTCCTTAGAACATTATATACAAATTTAGTATTAATTAAAAGAGCAAATTTCTCGAACATGCTCGAATACACACAAACGCAATGCGTGGTATGTATAGATATATAATCAGATTAGGGACAGACAAAAAGGTAAAAAGAGAATGTACAAAATGCGTATGTTGTGAAATGTACAGTACAGTTAGTAGTATATATGGATCGGGAAAATTTCCTGTGCTTTTATACTAATGGATATGAAAGCGATCACGTGATAAGTGGTAAAGCAATCAGATGGATTTAGTCAAAACAAAGTGTAAACAGAATATATAAATAACGTTACAAAATTTATAACTACTGAACTGTTCAAAAAATATATGGAAAATCGGAGAGTCTTATAAAGGGACGTTTAGCGATAGATGATAAATACGTAATGTCATTTACATATTTTGTTTTTGTTTTGGCTATAAATCCATCTGATTGGTGTATATTTTTGTCACGTGATTAGTAGTATGAAAACGCGAGTAATTCGAACCATACTACTAACTTACCAACTAAGGCTCTTTGCTCGCAATATCGAAATTCTGTTTGCATTTTTCTGCTAGTTATATCTCTCGCACCGCAGCCATTACGTTAACTAAGAGAGTCTTTAATGAGTGCGATTGTAATCAAATTGCTTTGTATATACTTTCCTATAATTTTCTCATGTTTTTTTTTCCACTCAGCGTACATTTTCTTCTCGTTCGCTGGTGCGATGGACGACCGACAATTCTATTACGACGCATGGAACGACAGTCAATGTAACTGCCCGGGATGTGATGGCTTGACTACCAAACTCTGCATTGATGCCCAGTTTGCTTCCAGTGAATGTGGTACCGAACCCCCCGTATTTGTCTGTGATAAATGCGCCAATAGGGTCAGAGCTGCGTTTCTATTGGATATCGTTCAGCCAATAGGAGAGGTAGCAGCATCGTGTGAAAACAAACCGTGCAAAGGTGATGATAGAACGGCGAAATATACTTGCTTTTCTGAAACTTGTATTAAGAAACAAAGGTATGAAACAAACCTGCGTGGAAAATTTTTCTCTCAGGAAACCTTGGTTATTGTTAAAATTAAGCGCGTTATAGGCGACAATATGTTCTATGACAAGTTTTCTTTTCGCAAGTTTTATTTGATTGTCTGTATAGGTAACTTAGCCAAGTTTTTCTATGACAAATACACTTCTCCAAAAGCTAGCTTGCCATACGAAAACCTGCCGTAGAAAAGTTGCTCGTTTGTGACTGGCTTAAAATTTGAAGTGGATTTGTAAAACATCGCGGCTATTACCTTTATTTCATGACAAAGCAACGCCTCCTATACAGGGTGTATAAAAAAGTCTCTCAATTTCACAACTCGAAACGGCTCTCAATTTCACAAATCCGTTCCATGGGCGTACGGGCCTAATCTTGTTTGGAGGGGCACAATATTAGTTTGCCCGACCGCTTTGCTACACAGTACACATATACAACTTTGTTCGAGATTTTATCGCGGCCTTGTTTAAGGGTTTTCCCGTTGGGGAGGGGGTATTTTTTGAAAAGGGACCTTTCTGTGAGATAATGTATTAGTGGGGATAGCCATGTGACCGACATACCACACATGAATGCCTAGGAGGGGCTGGGGGCATACTCCCCGAGAAAATTCTCGAAATTTGAAGCCCGGAAATGCCATTTCCTGCACTCTGAGCATCCAAATTTGCTCTAAAATTTATGCTAACTATACTTGTATTTGAAATAAATTAGGAAAAAACGCACAAAAAATGTGTAAATTATTAACAATAATTTATCATTTATCACAAGGACAAACGATAAAGCCTATTTGTTATTCTTCGCTGGATTGTTTGTATAAATTTAGGAAAAAGGGACTTTTCCTGGGGGGGGCGCGAAATGTGATTTCGTGGAGGACACAAAGGGCCCTGGATTTTGTATGTGCTTTTATAAACAGATGAGTATGAATGTGTAAATTAGCAGAAGTTTAACGGAAATGTCTACATAAAAACTAAGACAAAATCTAAGAATAATGCTCAATGTTTCTGCAATCTTCATAATCTTTGCCATAAGCCATCATCATTCATATACAGGTGTTCTTCATACAGTATATGGCAAAGTATATTAATAATAATATCTTATTATTATTATTAATATTGGTGTTATTAGATTAAATTATTCATTGTAGACCGCGGTTCTTCTTATCAACTTTGATGAGAGTTATATGTTTTGCCCGAATGACACATGGAATTCTGCTCAATTGCCCGACCGTAAAAATTTGGGGGACGTGCCCCCCGGCCGACACGCCTATGATCCGTTCATTTCATTAATTTTTTTGTTAATATAGATTGGGGGCAAGGATAATTGCCTGCGGCTTATTAATTTAGATTGGGGGCAAGGATAATTTCCTGCGGCAAGGATAATTGCGGGCGCAAATTATGAAGTTAATTCGACTGACGTTCTTGAATCTCTTGGTTCGGTAACTTTAGAGGAACGAAGAAAACGAAATAAATCGATATTAATGAATATAATTATAATATTCTCTTATTTAATAGACTTCTTGATATCTCGGCTACATGTAAACAACTGAATATATAATGTCCATATTCTAAATATAAACTAATCGTAATACGTGCGTTAATTATTAATAGACGTACATTACTATACCATTCCCTTTGTTTTAACTTGATTGTCAAATATCAAAATGTCTAATTAAATTTGTTAGCTAAGTTATTTAGCTATTTCATTGTTATGTTAGTTTATTAGATTTGATGGATATTCATGTCCGTATCGATTCGGTGGTCTTCGAATTCGGCTTGATCTTCTTGGTACTTCGTTGTTTTCATTACTGATGGATGGCTGATTGTTCTGCGAGTTTTCTTCATAATCGAAACTTTCATCATCAGTGTCTTCTTCTCGTGGTTTATTTATTCGCTTGAAATGTGACACGTTCCGTTTCACAATATGACCATCTTTACTTTGGGCAAGTATTTCTGAACCAGTTTTCTTTATCATTTTATACGGTTTGTGATTAAAATTCGCAGTTAGCTTGTTTTTCTTTTCTTGTCTAACCAGTACATAATCTCCAACTTGTAGATCACTTTTTCTTGTGTTTCTCCTTTGATTTGCATATTCTCGGTTGCGTTCTTGTCGTGTTTTCTCATTGTCTCGAGCTTCTTTATGTCGATTGACGATCTTCTTGCTGTTTTTTACTGGTAATTTTCCTTTTATCACTCGGTTAAACAACAGTTCTGATGGAGGTACTCCTGTAGTGCAATGTGGAGTGGTTCGATATTGTAAAAGAAAACGGTTCAATTCTTG